ACAGTTGCTATTTATAGTGGTTTTCCTGGCTGTCTTACTACAAACTTGATGTTTGAAAACAACAACAACAAATGTATGGCCTCACAGTTTAGCATGGCATAAGTACAAAATCAAGACATCATCAAGATGGTTCCTTTTGAGGCTCTGAGGGAGGACACACTCATATTTCTGGCTTCTCAAGGATGCAAGCTGTGTTTGGCATTCCTTGCTGTAAAGCTGCATCATTCCAACCTCTTCCCATGTCTTTAAATGACCTTATTCCATGTGTTTCCCCTGGGTCTCTGAGTCAAAGTCCTTTCTGAGGCCTCAAGTCATTGGATTTAATGCCCACTGTAGTATTTAATGCACGCTAGTATTGACATGACTACATCTGCAAAAGCCCTATTTCCAAATAAGATCACAATCACAGGTATCAGGTGTTAGAACATGGATGTATCTCATTTGGGGATAGCATTGTAACCCCTAAGTGTTTAAAGCACTTCTCATTTCTCTATATTTGCCAGTCTCTTCCAATTTAAGGATATCAGTTTACCCCATGGCCTGTTGTCTCATGGATCAAAGAAAAGTCATTGATTTCCATATTTTCTTAGCTTTTGAAAAATCATAGTAACAGAATGATTACTTCCAAGTTTTTATGTACTGAAATTAAAATCAAAAGTTTTCAACAATTTACTGACTGACCCATATTAAGAGTTCAGTTCATTCATGCAGGAGTGGAATGAATAAATATATACATGAATTATCTATTCCTTTTGACTTACTCCTTTATTTAAAATTTATGTATTTATATTTCTACTGTTAGATCTCACAGCCTCTTCTCTAGCTATTTGTGTTCTTATTTATCATTATATTACAATAGACAAAAAATAAATTTAACTGTTGCATGATATTTAAGTAGTCAGGTTATCCACTTTTTCTATGAAAAATTATTGGTTATTGACACAAAGAAATTTCTTAATGTTTGGGGATTTTCATTGTTTCTTTATGGGAGTTTTTGGTGGTTATTATTTTGCTATAATATGTTTATTTATTTTATTTTGTTAGAGGACAGAAAGGAAGAGGTAGGTAAGATGAAAACAGTCATAGAATGGTGGATTTTGAGATTTAACGTTTCGCAAGTCATCATTTTATTTAGCTCATAAACTTTGTTTTAAAAAGGACTTTTCTTGCCAGGTGTGGTGGCTTACACCTATAACCCCAGAGGCTCAGGAGGCTGAAGTAGGAGGATCACAAATTCAAAGCCAGCCTCAGCAACTTAGTGAGGCTTTAAGAAACTTATTGAGACCCTATCTCAAAATATTTAAAAAGGGTTAGGGATATTGCTCAGTGGTTACGTGCCCCTAGGTTCAATCCCCACTACAAAAAAAAAAAAAAAAAAAAAAAAAGCCTTTTTTTTTGGTCCTACCTCTTTCCTTTTTATTTCCTTTCTTCTCTCTCTTTTTATTCTTTCTCATTCTCACTCACTTTTTTTCTTCTTTTTTTATTCCTTTTTCCTTATTTCATCCCCACCCCCCACTTTTTCCCCCCACCCTAGGCCTAGAGGTGATCTCTGCAAAACGAAAGCAAATGAACTCAGCAGATTTAAAAACTCGCATGGAGAGGAAACATTTTTCCTAGTATCTCTATTCCGTTAGTGTTTTAAGATTCTCTATTGTACCTTAGGATCTCTTGCTCTTCCCTGGGACCCACACAGTCCTGCAGAAGCTTGAGGTCCTACCATTTAGTGGGTGGCAGCATGGGGTGGCTGGTTCTTCCTTCCTCACCTGTGTTCTCACATTTTAGTCCTCTCAGTTTCATTCACCTTAGAGTCTGGAAATTATCTCAAGCAATTCATTCAACATACAAAATAAACCCTTTGCATCAGAACAAATGCTTTTGTGATATTAAATAATTATAAAATCAATCACTTTTATATCTTCACTGTCCAGGAAAGAAATTAAATGATCAAATAGGTATTAAATGAAGCATACAAAAATTTTCTATTTCAAGTTGGGCATGGTGGCCCATGCCTGTAATCTCAGCAGCTTGGGAGGCTGAGGCAGGAGGATCGTGAGTTCAAATCCAGCCTCACAAAAGTGAGGTATTAAGGAACTCAGTGAAACCCTATCTCTAAATAAAATACAAAATAGGGCTGGGGATGTGGCTCAGTGGTTGAGTACCTGTGAGTTCAATCCCCAGTAGCCGTCTACCACCACAAAAAAAAAAAGATTTCTATTTTAGAATATTTGCTTTTGTAGACTTGGATGTTGGCATTTAATCTCTATGGGTTTAGCCATTTTAAAATTGTTCACACTAAAGGAACCTCCTGTTTGGTGCTCTGCTCTGTCATGGAACCATCTGTGCCGAACACTTACTGTGTGAACGTTTGCTTTGCACTTTCACTTGCAATGTCTTATGCTCTATTTTAATAATTTTTAATGTATTCATTATATATGTGTGTGTGTGTGTGTGTGTGTGTGTGTGTATATATATATATATATATATATATATATATATATATATATATACACATATATATATATATATGAGGTCCTCATATATTTTGAAGATTAACACTTTATCAGATACATGGTTTAGAAATATGTTAATTAAGTCTCAGGCTTTTAGTGTGTCTGAGTCCCAGGGCTCTGACATTCAAATTATCTATATAATTTACTGTCAATGCCATTCTAATATTTTTATATATTCTCTAAACATTCTTCCTAAAAATGGTGGCAATTAAAAACATATATGTATATAATAGATTATACTTCTGTCCTCAGTTTTCCGTCTACATCCATTTTTGATCAATTTCATGCTCAAAAATTTAGAAGTAATACCACAAAGATCTCTAAGCTCAGTAGGTTAATTAGGTAGGTACCTAGTGCTCCTAAGTAGAATGCTACAATTATCTTCTCCTTCATGAGGTTTTTAATCTTCACTGCTTTTATTTTCACCCTTATTAACCTCACTTTAAATTTTTCCTCAATTTTTTTTACCATTTCCTATTCTACATGGTTTATAAGGTTGTTTATATATTTAATATATTATCATTTTTCAAGAGTCAAGTATGTTTGGTATCATACCAATGCAGTTATGTGCCTTCAAATACCTTGGAAGATGTTATCTTCCAAATTATAAAGGTGATCTAAAAAAGGAAAGTAATGAGTAGTTGTAATTCAAACACTGTTTTCTTAAACAAAGACTATTTCCTAATACAATGTTTTCGTGAACTGTATGGTTTGAAGAGCATTGTTTCCTTCTTACAAGAAAGATTTTTAGTTAACATTATTCTCTTCTTAATGCATATAATACAAGTATTTTAAGGAGAAATAGTCATTTTTAAGAAACCTTGTGAATTTGAACAGCTAAATTCCAGCTTAAATTATCATTTATGTTTATCCAATAATCCGCAGTAATAACTTTTAATCTAGCATCCTGTGTCCTACTCAAGTTCACATAAAAAATTAACCATCACATTTGCTGAACCAAGCAGTTAGCCTATATTTATCAATCCTATTGATTCCATGCTTTATCACTCAGGAAGTCATAAATGTATTTGCAATGTATTTTCTTTAAGTTAAAACCATGATACTTAGCTCCTATGTCTGAAAAGCATTGTCTTAAAACACAAGTAGTAAGGCCCCAAACTGCATATCCTTCTCTTCATTATATTAGGGAGTCGGAGAGAGAACAAACTTCTGGATGTACCACTAACAGGCCAAGCAACCTTGGAAACTATCATTTATTCTCTTCAGCTTTAGTTTATTCATCTATAATTGAACAGTTGGGCTAAATCATTTCAAAGTTTCTAATTATTCCTATAAATTTATGAAGAAAAAAGCATTTGGTGAAAAATATTTGAACAAATAACCTAAAAATTTTGGTAGATAATTTTGCCTACTATTATGCAAATATTTTTAATACAATTTGGTTTTCCACTTGATAAAAAGAAAGTAAGAGAGAGTTTTAATATATAGTTATTTAATATTACAGCTTTGACTGACACATCTGGTGAATGATAATACAATTGATGATAGCAGAAACCCTATCTCCCCTGAATGACACAGAAGTCATGTTGCTTGACAATCAGGCACTAAGTGTCATGGTATTTAGGCTCCATTCAATATTACCTTTCAATACTATGATTAATACTATACTAATACTATAATTAATTCCTTTAATTATAAAAATAATAGGAATGATAATGAGTAATAAAAAACAAATATATGAAATAAATGTAACCAGGAAGAAAGATTTGCATCATTTCAGCTAAATAGATCAGTAAACAGTAATTTTTACTCTTAAAAATGCCTCAAGGGATCCATTTATTTGAAGTCAGGGTCATTCTATAGATGAAGTATTTGCCTGTTTGAACAGCAAAGTGAATAAAAAAATCAATCATGTTGTTATTAAGCATCTTTCACATATTAGATATATAATAATAACTATACCAAAATGATATTTTCACTAATCAATGTAGAAATAAATTTATTTGGCACTTGTGTTTACAGGATTCTTGATTTTGATTAATTTGAGAAAATATTAAACTTACGATCTATCTTTCCCCATTTGATCTGAGTCTCTACCCTGTGAAACCCTGGATTTAGGGGTACCAGAAAGGTAGTTCCCAGTACATGAAGCATCCATCCTGTGAGGTGTTCTACATCCTGTATACTGCGCATACCAGGAAGCCCCACCCTACCTAGAAGCCAGGCAATCTGGATTGAGGAATATCCTTCAAAGCCTTTAGTCACAATTGACTGGGACTAGAGTGAAACCCAGCAGTATGAGATATATGTAGCAGCCCAATATAATGCTGCCTGGTCTCTAAAACATGATATTGTCACTGGAACCAAAGCCCTCACAGTAGACCAGGATTTGTTTGTCAAACTTAAGCAGGGTGACCACATATTAAAATAAAATACTCAGGTAAGATACAGGTCATCATAACATAATAGTCCAAATGTCTAGAATATTGTCCATATTCTAGCTGTAATTTTGTCCTCTTGTTTTGCAAGCTGTTACCATCAGAGAACCCAAGCAAATGGCTCATGGGATAGGTAAGTATTATTTTTTGAACTAATGAATCTAAAATGATTCTTACTATATGAATCTATAATTCTAGTTATTCTAAATATGTTAAAAAGTATGATTATTATAAAGCATTTATTGAAATTTTCAAAATGGTATCATGTATCATTGAAGCACTAACATATTTCTTATAGTCATAAAATTGTTGATTAGCAAATGAGGCATACCATGTTTAATACTTTTACAAGTTTATATGTGAACTCTGATGTCATGAAGGTAATATCCTCATTTTAAAATAATTCACAATGTAGAGATAAATATAATTAATTATCTTTTATACTCATGCTTTTTTTTATTCTTTCACAGTATAAGGGAATAATTTCTTCTCCTGAAATCAAGCTGATCAATTTTCCTAAAATTCTCATCCTTTCATTTCTTTCTTTCTAAATAAATTTGAGCCATGAAATAATCTTCTACTGTGAACCTCAAAATCATTTTTCTCTTTCTTCCAGTGGCAGTTATACGTTCTCAAGTATGTCCTTCTTGAAAACACCTTGAAGGAAGAAGAAAGGAAGAAAGGAAGGAAAGAAGAAAGGAAAAGCCTTCAAATTCATTTTTCCCTCTATACATTTGATGTTTTCCTTTTATCAAGTATTATTTACTCTTCCTGTACTACAATAAAGATTATATTTTTTAAGTGTCCAAAGTTGTTGCTATGATTAAACTCACCAATAGCCTTAGTATTGTCAAAAGCATGCACAAAACTTCCACCAATTAAAATTTTCATTATTGGAATTATTTGTCCATTCTCAAGCCACCACTAAGCACTGTATTATATATTTAATCAAAAGAAAATTGAATGTGAATGTGAAGCTAATAGCACCTAAGCTTCAAGAACTTTCACTTGCACTGGGAGATGCACTAGCAATTGTTCACAGTGTTGTGATCTTGTGTAACTAGAAAAACATAAGATCTTCTTATTCTTAAGGGTCAACCCACCGTGTTTTTATGCTCTAGATTATGCTCATTTACAGTTCCTTTCTATAATGTGGCAGTGACATGACTCCTGGCATTACTGAGACTTAGTTAAGGAGGTGTTCAATTTGGGCTTCAGTGAGATATATGTTTGTAGTTCATAAATGTTTTCTTGATTTATATTAATTATAAGCCACCTAGCACAGAAATGATTATTGAATATTCTCACCCCTTTTTATTCGAACAAACCAGATGTCAAGAGAGAAAATACAAACTAGATAACCTATTTCAAAGGTGTTTATCTATATTTATTTTTAAATAATCTATTAAAAACATAAAAAAATGTAGACATTAACAGGTACTATGTGATACTTTGATAAAAGTATATGTTGTTTGATGTTAGAATGAAGTTAAACATGTCTATCTTTTCCAACATTTCTTTATCATAAAAACCCTTAAAATGCTTTCTTCTAGCTTTTCAAAATGTACACCATAGTATTGTCATCAATAGTCACTCTAGAACTCCTTGGAGTTACATATAACTATAACTGGAGTGCCCTTTGATCAACTTTTCCCTATTCTTTCCTCCCACCTACTCTCTGCCCTCTGGTGAACACCATTCTACTTTCAATGATCATCATCTTTTATATTTTACCTATAAGTAAAATCATACAGTACTTGTCTTTCTGTGCTTGGGTTATGTCACTTACCGTGATGATCTCCTAAATGACAGAATTTAACTTTTTATAGCTGAATAGTATTCCATTGTGCATAAGTAACATAACTTTTTGTTTATCCATCAGCTGATGGTCAATAGGTTGTTTTCTTTCCTTGGTTATTGTGAATAGTGCTGCAATGAACATGGTGTGCAAATGTCTCTTTAACATACTGATTTAATTCCTTTTGGAAACTGGCTCTGGAAATATGGAACCCTGCACTCTCAGGTCTCTTTAGGCCACAGAAAACAAAGAGGTAGCCTCACACAGGGCCCATTTCCAGTGTCCACCTCCCCAGTATCCAAGGGTGGAGTTCAAATGCAAGGGCAGGCATTTATCATAGATCCTCTCCTTAGCTTAGTGTAGAGAGTGGGACATACGTTCTTGTTCCTGGCTTCATCATAAGGAAAGAAGGACTTGGAACACACTTCAACTTCCCAACTGTATCTCAAGGGTCTGACTTCTACTTTACCTGTCTTGGTTTACTGACAGGACGTGTTACATCCTATTCCCCAGGAAGCCACCAAAACCAGGACAGTTGTTCAGACAGACACAAAGATTTGAGAGACACTTTAGAATCTATGGCCAGATGGATTCATCAGAGACCCTACTTAAATATAAAAGTTTCCTGTGATAGCCAATTCCAAAATATATGGGCTTAAAAATACCTTGAAATATATGCAAAGCCAGAAGATAGTCTTTGGAACATCTTTCAGTAATCATATGTATCAAATGTAACCAGAAGATTGATTCTTTTTAAAGCATACTCAAATCAGAAATTCTCTCCTGACCAGAATATAGGAAGAACTGATCAAAGATTATGCATCTAAACCTTCAGGGAGATCAGTATTTGAGTGGTATGTGAAACATTTAACTATTGTAAAATTATAGTATTTTCCTGAATATTTTAAGTTTCTTACAGACAGACCTTTCCTAAAAACTCTAACTTGTGTTGATCTCTTGTATTCTAATTTTAAAAAGACTGTTCATTTTACTATGTTGTTATATACAAATGCTTTCAACTTATGATGGGGTTATGCCCCAATAAATCCATTGTAAGTTGAAAATATAAGAAGTAAAAAATGCATGTAAGATACCTAAACCTACCAAATGTCATAGCTTAGCAATATAGTAAATTGTAGTGCACTGTCGTGGACAGTGTTGCAAGACAGTACTGAATGCTTACATTCATTGTCCTGTGGCTAAGTGAGGGCTGCAGCTCACTGTTACTGCCCAGCACCTCAAAAGCTACCTCAGGAAAAGATCAAAATTCCAGACTTTGGGGTATGGTTTCTATTTAATAAATGGTCATTTTCACACCATTATAAAGTTTAAAAAACTATAAGTTAAATCATAGCAAGCTGGGCACTCTCTGTACTTGTAATTTTATACTCTGCTTCTAAGAACGACAACAAGCTTTTTTAATACTCAGCTTTCTCAAAACCTGGAATTTCCTCTATTGACTCAGATTTCATTTATACATAAGAAAATAGGCATGATTTGGGGGTATGGACTCTTCCTTTGACTGTCATACCTTATCTTAGAATTCATGGCCTACCTCTGACTCTCTGTTCTGAATTTCTCATACATATGCACATTTATGGAACCTCTCTGTCAATATATTCCCTTTAAATAATGCTATAATTATGTCCAAAAAAAAAAAAAAGGTAGGCAAAGATCAGTTGCTGTTGAAATAAAGGAAAATACCTTGGCAGGTTGTCATACTGGAGTTGAGTCCTACAATCAAATGAGTATTTATACTTGCAGAACACAAAGCAAATAACAAAAGAGCAAAGAAATATGGGATATGTCCTTCGTCCATTTTTACATTGAGGTTGCTGTCTTTTTATTTCTGTTTGCATGTGTTGCTCATATTGTTAGATATTTAATCTTTTTTCCTTAGGCATTGCTTATAATCACCTTTCCTGTTACCTGTATATTCATTTATCCATGGTGGTTGTCTTTATACAAAAATCTCTTACTATTTTTATGTTTTAAATAAAAGTATAGGAAGCAAATGGAGCCCATTCATGGGGCCTTAGAATAAGTGATTGTATAAGAATGTGCACTGCTGAGCCATTGCCCACCTATCTTGACTGGAAAAATTCTAGTAAGATAATTCTAGTTCAGGACCATCTTCCTCATTTTTCATTGTCAGATCTGACAGTTCTCAAGTTATAGACTGCCATTCAACCAGGCTTTGATTGGACCAGTCCATGGAAGGGATATTATCAGAGTAGGTTCACTTACCCTTCCTTAAGCCACTGCTGCATTTGGTGCAGAGCTGGAGAGCCCAGACATTTGCTGAGTTCTGTGCCAGGCCAAGTTAATTGAAGTGATGATTTTCCTAAAAGTATTGAATCTGACATTTCTGGATTTCCTAAACCTATATAGCTCAGAAACACATTTAATTAATATGATACAAATTAAAATTCATGAATCTGAGTAGCATTTTCGATATACTTTAATACTCTGTTTAAAAAGCAGACTGGGTGAATGTATCATTATTGTTTTGACAAACATATTGCATTTTCCATAACTGTTTATTGCCCAGCTTTCTATTTAAAAAGGAGTGTTCTATTATCATCAAATTACTAGGTACAACTTTAGGGTAATTGATAATAAATTTTGACCATAGAGATCTCAAAGTTGAATCCTTCCCTATGTCAAAAGGATCAAGATGGTTCAACAAAGTGTTACATGGAAAAAAAAAACAGTCACATTTATTCCTCATGCATTTAATTATGTTTTTAAAAAATGTGAATGTGGGGGCTGGAGTTGTGGCTCAGCAGTAGAGCACTCGCTTAGCACGTGCAAGGTTCTGGGTTCGATCCTCAGCACCACATAAAAATAAGTAAACTAAAAAGTGTGGATGTGAAAAATAAAATTATTTTATTCATGTCATAAACTCAAAAGTCAAAATTAATTGATTTTTTTTCTTTCTCTGAAGACAAGAAAGATAAAACAATGAGGAATGGATGATAAGTACTTGGGAAAAGGCCATAAAGAGGCTAGATTACAACCTAGATTGTAATTGGATGTAATGAATACACATGAATGGAATTCCCTTGGCTTGTAGTCACTACTAGCAAGACAATACACTTAGTGTGATAATAAATGACTAAATAAATTCAATAGTAATGGAAGGCTAGTATTTGTTACATGCTAACCAATTCAAAACAACATTAATGCTCTTTCAGTGATGTGCCTCAATCACACTGCAATATATCATTAAGAATACCATGTAGATATGCAAATTAATGTTTAAAAAGTTTAAGTAATTATTTTAAAGTTATACTAATAGTTAGAGACAAAGCCAGAATATTACCTAATTAAGG